AAAAACCATACATAAAAACAAAGAGTTATTTCAGTAGCACAAAGACTACCTTAAATATATCAAAGTAAGTCTAAGGAGAGTTAATGCAACTGAAAAAAAAAAAAATGAAATGAAGACCTGCATGGCACACAGTCAGTGTTTTCATCAACACTGTTGATAAGCTCTAAGTCTCTAAATGTAGTAGTAGAGCATTGGTTGGTTTGGATTAATTTTTTAATTCTGAAGTTACATTAAAAAAAAACAGTTGTAGCAATTCTTTTGAGCTGCTAGTTTCACGAGGAAAAAGTCCCTTTCAAAATTTCAATAAATATGCTGACATGTAAAGTTAGTTGAGGTTGTCATGCAAGACAAGTTACATAACCAAGACCAACTCAATCTTTATAATAAAGGCAACTTGCATTCAAAAATGAACTTTACCCTTACAATTTTATTCAAAGGGTAAACATGAATTAACCCAGCTGTTTACCTGAATTACAAAAGTAACATGATTCAATATGAAAATAAGAAACTGTCTACAAATCTCTGACAGTAATAAATTGCAATATACAATGCATACAGGAGTTATACAGAGCAACAAACTCTTGTACAAAACAAAAATACTTTAATACCTTTAAAATCCAATTTTTTTTTAAAATCATCATGAAAAAGATTTGAGTCAGAACTCACACCTCAATTAGTCAAGCTTCATGTAGCTACATTACAGCTATTTAATATACAAAGAGATAAATCTCTTCACCAGTCATTAAAACTGCCTCTTCGTTAGAGTTGCACAGCTTTTCTGTCTCGTGTTCCCAGATCCAAAGTTTTCTTCAAATCATGAGAACTGAATTTGTTGAACACCAGAGATCTAGAAAAAGAAAATGCAAGCTTACATTCAAATGCACCTTTTCTGAAACTGCATTGCAGCTAGCAGCCTTGAATTGTCACAGTGTTGGAATGTCGCCACCAAAGGACTCAATAAAATTCATCCACATCTTTCGGAACAGGGCAGCTGAATTAGCATTTGAATTTTAGCAGCAGAAGGGAGAGTAGGGGATGGGATACAGTACCTGTTGGTACGATGTTGTGTAGACCATAACGTTCTGCTGTTGACCGTCTGTAGTTATTAAGCCTGCTGGCAACTGGTTAGCTGAAAGAAGGAGCATTTTAAGGAAGTTAGACATGAACTGCAGGATACACAGAGCCTTGTTTGATGTGTCTGTCACCAGTAAATAACCTTTAATTGTGGTCCACTCCAAGACTATGGAGTCATTCCTCTCCTGACAGCTACCATCCTGCACTGCATATAGACAAACTTGTTACTGAGTGTTACAAGTAAACAAGTTTATTCCCATTAAGAAGAAACACTTAAGAAACAAAATTCAACTTAATTTTGCATCAGATAATCTAACAGTAAGATTGCACCTTGTTCTTCCCCTGTACATATCTGAAGCAGAACATACACAGCTGTACACTGGCGAACGGAGTGGAGTTTGCCATCCCGACCACTGAAAAAGCAACCTCCAGCATTCAATATCCCGAGAAACCTGGAGAATTCAGTTTGTTTTGTTTAGACATATGGTTAGCACTTGAGCATACATGTGTGAGGAACTCAATGAAAACGTTGCGGTTCTTTATAAAACAGGATCCATCAAGGACTCCATAATGTGGAAGCCCCATGGAAGGCAGCAGAGATGAACAGAGACAGGCAACGACTAAAAAAAATAAAATGTCAGAGCCTGACATTACGTTGGTTGACTTCAGCATGCCCTTCAGGTACACACAAGAGCTCTGAATTTCATAGAGTAGAGAGGAGGCCGATGAACGGAGTAAAAAGTACTGCTGAGATTTAGAGAGAAAACACAGGGAGTGACGCTCTAAGATAAACCTTTACAATAACACGTACATTGAGCTCTGCGGCATTCAGAGGAGGTATGTTACAACTGCTACTTGGAAGCAAAGCAGCAAAACTCTTAAGTTGTAAGTTAAGTCACCGTAGCATAACATTCTCCGCTAGGAGACAGACAACGGGGCTTTCTTCTTTCTGAAGTATGGCTGTAACTATGTATAAATAAGACTTATAACCCATAAAAAAAATTCTGAAAACACAGTATAATCTTAACAGCTTTCATTTGAAAGCTGATGCTTGGGGGTTTTTAAATTGGAGTTTTGGTTGGTTCCCCCCCCCGTTCTTTATTGTAATACTGAAGTTGGAATTTAAAAGAGATGCATTAAGATCATAGTGAGAAGTGGCTCTGGCAGGTCCAAAATTTTACTGCCCTTTGATGCGCATGTTCTACATCCAACAGAGCTTAATGCCAAGCCTCTGACCCAGCCCTGGCATTAGGCTAAGACAAAGAGCTAAGGGTTGTGCCCCAGTAGCACAGCTATCGCTGTGCTCCTGCAGTGAGACCATTGTTGGGAATAGATCTATAGCTGCCCCTATGGAGACAAACACCTGCAGCACTTGTCACGATCAGTTATTTTACAGAAAAGTTTTTTTCCTCCTCCTACTCCTGCAACATCTCCTTTGCATCCTGCCAAGACTTAATATTCATTTCCAAAGTTGCTCTTTTCAAATCACAGCAAATTAAGGCTTATTTCAGAGCACCCTGAGGCTCCGGGGCCTGAGATATTTGAACAAGTGACTAGGAGCAGATCTTCAGCCTTCTGCTGTTTAACAGGGATGATGCCAAATTTGAGAAGGAGACAGAGGATCCACAGATGTAAGGGGATTCCTTTTTTCTGGTTTCCATTTTCTGGTGGGCTAAGCAGAGCATGAGCATCCAGAGGAGAAACTTTTTGTGAATTTGCCTCTTTGCCCATATGAAACAAGATATTGGACGCAAACACAATCAGAGGTTTCCAGCTATATATTCTCCCTCAACTCTTGAGCTGCAGTTTAAATGCTTGAAGTGCAAATCAGAATATATACAAAACAAAGCTTTTAGAACAATTTCTATATATTTATTTGACAAGCTTCCAAGCCGGACAGACTCCCAACAGCTGCAATCCAGAAACCATTAGCAACACACCCAAGATAAGTAAGTTGGGCCTATAGTTGTGTCTTATTACTGCTGAATCAGAGCTATTAAATGTGAGTGAGTATGGATAAGAGTTTACTATTTGCATTGCCTAATCTTTAATTATAAAATTAAAATAGTCATATTTAAAAAAAAAAGCTTTCTTTAAGTCCCCTGCAATATTTAGGTTTAGATTCTCAATTTCCAGCCAGTTTTATGAGCTTATCTTCCAGGTTAGGAGAGACCCAAAAAGTCTGTACTGTTTTATACAGCCAAAGTCATCATACTGGGAGCAAAGTGTGCTTCAGACCCTGAATAGGTCATTTCAGTCCTCACGCTTTGAATTTTTGCTAGTTCAGTAGTTTACCAGTGATTTTAACAGAAGATTTATCAGATACTTGAAAAACTAAATCTCATCAGTAGATATGACTAGAGCTGTGCCTCCTAATTCTTCTTGTATCAGCTTCAAGATTACCAGCCCGTAACACTTAAAAGCCAAGGTGAAGACTACGTGCAAGAATCCAGCATCAACAAAACCAACGCAAAGTCCCAACAAGTGTCAGGCTTTAATTCACAATATAAGGAAGAAAAACTACAGTGAATGCATATGATGCTCCTCGCCCTACACCTTTTAGTTGCCAATCTGTGCATTCTTTTGAATATAAGAAATACTAAGGGTTTTAGAGTTATACGAAGATGATGTTCTTCTCTGGCTCATTTCTCAAAGACGAGCTCCTCAAGTCATCAAGCGGAGTTTATCTTACTTTTTCGCCAACAGTCTTGCAAGTAGAACGCATGTGGCCTAAATATGTAGCTACGCAGGGTCGGGGGGGGAATAAAGAAAAAAAAGTTTGCACCTTTCATTACAATCTGGTTTAAGTGTAGAGAAGAAATACTGGCACTAATGTATGCACATTTAAAAATCTTCCACAGTTGACATTAGCTATTACTAGAGTGTCATCATTTATCACTATATTACTTCATTCTGACCATAAATTCTACTGACTGGGAGGAGGTTATCTGAGCACAGGTTATCGCCCAGACATCTCAAATGAAAATCTCAATGGATCACAGGTGTAACATGTGGCCAGTCCAGGATGTATTCCTCAAGTAAGAATTCTGATGTCTAAAGGAAGTGCTGTTTTTAGAAAAGCCACAGTAATAATACAATAAATTAAAACATATTACTTACTAAATGCTTCCTCTGTGAGCTCCTCACTTAGACCGTCTCCAGTTGTAACTGTTCCCCCAATTCCCTTTTCTCCTTTCATTGCCTGGTGAGGGGCGGGGGGAAAGGAAAAAAGAAAGAAAGAAAGAAATGTATTAGAGTACAGTTGGCTTGAGATTGTTTCAAGACCCCAGAAGCTCTAGCCAAGGTTTGGAACTTGCAGAAAAGTCACTATGCAGCAGCTGGCGTTTGAAATCCAAGACCTGTAAAACTCTATTGGATTTAAGAACACGCGTAGTACAAGAATACACAAAGGCTGTTTTTCATCTTAGCCATACTCCTCAAAAACTCTGCAAACTAGGATTGTGTAGTTCTAAGAAAGGCTTTCACCTTCTGCAGAAAGCCGAAGATCTGCAGTGATACAGAAGAAGCAGTTAAGAGCATTTACAAGAAATCACAGAATCGCAGAACTACTGAGAACGAGCAACATTTGCTTACCAACCACACACAAGTGCCATCATCATACAACTAAGAGTTGACATTTAAAACCAAGATATTGGATTTCTTTTCCCACATCAAGGACTACAGCCAGAAAGGATACCAGCACAGAAAGCCAAGGCTCCCAGTCATCTGCATGCAGTTTTACAAGTACAAAGTTTGATGCCCTATGCTATTACATAAGAACATCTAAGAAAATAATATAGGTATAAAAAGTATTCTCTGCAACTGTTTGATGTAGACTAAATACTAAGCTACAAAACAGAAACATTTCACTATATACAGTGTCCTGAAGACAGAACTAGCTGGAATGGAGGTTTAAAACTGATGAGCAAAACCATCCAATCCATCCATCCAATTAAAACCCAGTCCTGCTACTCTGCTAGCACAGCATATATATCTGCAAAAATGGCCACTTCAGAATGAAAGTAGCATAGACCCACTTCAGACTTCTCCAGAAGTACTGAAACCAGTTAGGCACTACTTGCTTTTTTAATTAAAGCACATACAGCACTTTGATGGCACATGCAACTGCTACACAGAACTGGAAAAAGGTAGCACACAGCAGTACTTCAACTTTTAGGTTATACCTCCTGTTACTCAGTTATCACAGCAAATGACCTTCTGGGAAGGGGAAGCTTCAAGTGCTATCAGCGAACTAAGTATCATTAGTGAGTCTGACCCCATTAATTAAAAAAAACTTAGGTTTACAGAACAAAAAGTTTGAAGAGCATCTTTATCTAGAGCACTGCCAATTTAGACATACCTGCTTCACTCATGCCAGTAAAACCAAGCAGCCATACCAACAGAGGGATCCACGTTTAAAAAAAAAAAACAACAAACTAATTTGCTTTGAGGTTTTTTTCCCAGGGTTATTTTAACCCTGAACAACTTCTTCGTTCAGGACTATGAGGAAGAGAGGTCACTGGATAAAAATACCTTTTATTTGTTTGGTTAAATCTGGTATTCTGAGGTAAAAAAACACCAAAGTAAAGAAGCAAGCAAGCAGACAGGAGGCAGGGGAACAGGGGACCAGAACAAAAAACCCAAACAGAAGCAACTTCTTTTTCAAAAAGTTTAAGTTGCTGCAAGGAAGG